TATCTGAGTTCTCTATCTCTTGGACTTTTGGCTTTCTCTCTGTGATGGTTTGAATTGGTGAAACTTGTGATTAATGTATCAGATGGCCGTGAATTGGCAGAAAGATTGCTCTAAATCAAGACTTCTACTTGCCGCTCCCTCAAAGGGTCCAAAGCAAAGCCAAAACTGAAGACAATCAACGTGATGATGTTGGAGTGAAGTATGTTTCTTGCTCATGATGCAAATGCACTAATGTCAGTGAAGTCAAGCTGTGTATAACTTTTTTATCAAGACAAAGGAAAGAATATGCATAAGGAAAGAGGAAAGGGAAAGGAAAGACGAACTAGGAAAAGGAGGAGCTAGTATATGTTCTTTTGCCACCTTTTTGATCCAAGGAAGCAAAGCATCAAGCATTGTGCAGATAATCAAGCAAGAAAGAATATTTCAATCTTCTTAACATCAATGTTAGGGTTTTATTATTGGTGAGAAGGATTTCTTTAGAAGTGATTTTTCTAAATTAAGATTAATTTTGTTTCTATAAGTAATTTGGATTTCTTCAAACCTGATGATTACTTTTTGAATTTTTTATAAATAGTTTAAGGTTTTTTTTCCAAGACTATTTAATTCCTCCAGATCTTCTTTTTGTTTCTAAGATTTATACCTTGGGAATATTTGTTAGTTTTTCTTTTGATATTTATTCGAAGTATTACAAAACAATGGTTTAAAGAGGGTACAGGTAAAGGTTTTGGTTTGTTTCACAAGAGGCAAAGAGTTGTTCTTCGTGAGACACACCAGAGAGCTCTCTGGAAATAGCTTCGTGGCAGCGTACCTGGGAGTTCAGCAGCGAATCTATATGTCGTAAAGACAATTCGAGGTGAAGAAGGTGTTGAGAGCACTTAGAGGTTGGTTCAATTGAGCGTGGATTCCGCTGGTAAAGTTGAGAGTATAGGCATGTTATCTTAAATCTTTCTTAGTGGATTGTTTTGTAAGCTGTTGCCTGTTGGTTTTTAATCAGAGTTGGAGGTGTCCATTGTAGTTTTTTCACGTATAGAATCATTGTGTTAGATTTGTCTTGATTGTTTGATTGGGATTGTTATACTACTGCTTAAAATTGTTACATAATCACAAATCAATATCTAGGGATTTCTTACGAATTTTTCATGGGTAATCATGAAGTCGTTCTAACTTTTTCTTTGTTAAAAAAATTCTTTTTAGAGACGAGATTTGTTTG